ACATTTGTAAATTTGTAAAACATTTGTGTGCATGAACCTGAAAAAAAGTTTTGAAATTCAAATAAAATTGAATGAGTTACAATGAGCTAAAATTGAAACATTTGAATTCCTGTTTCTGTTTTCTTCCTCTTATACTAATTTCCAAAATTTAAATTGGCAACTGAATTTAAAATTTCTTCTATTGTTTCAAGCGCACAGATGTTTCCTAAAGTTCCTTTTTTGATATTTAGAAAAATCTGGAAAACTTTTTGAGATATGATTAAAAACACAAAAATGTTTTTGAAAAGTGTACAAGAATTGGCAGAAAAGCTTTTAGTTTAGCTTTTAATTTAAACTCATTAAATTTTGAACATTTTTAAAAACCAAAAATATTTAAAATCATAGAACATCTGTGTGCATACAACCCTTGAAAAATTTTCAAATTGAATCAAAATCAAGAATGTCAGAATGAGCTAAACTGAAAACGTTGAATTCCCTTTTCTGTTTTTCTTCCCATTTAGCCAACTTCAAAAATTTGCCACAAATTCAATTTTTGACTAATTACAAAATTTGTCAAGTGTTGCTTGTGCAGTAAAGCTTTAAACATTTCCTCATTTTAAGTTTGAAAAAGCTTTGAAATTGAGTGAGATATATGATAGAGAATACAAAAACATTCTTGAAAAATGTAAAAAAATGGGAAAAAAGATTTTACTTCCTGAATTGTTTCTTTGAAATGACCAGAAAGAGTTACAGAAAATCTTGGAATATGAAAAAAAAAACTTGAAAAAATCTGAAGTTTGTGACATGTGATAAAATCCCCCTTCTCATGTGCCAATGCATGGTAAATTGGGTCCAAAAATGAGATGACATGTGGACACAGAACATGTGACCAGCTGTAGTCATAAATTTGTAAAATACATCTGAAATATCAAACATGATACCTATAAATTGAACAATAGGATAGGTTGAAGGGTACTTTTAATTTTGCGGGATTTGTCCCAATATTGCCTTGGCATGGTTGTGCACCCCTTGAAAATTTATCATAGCCTAATAACAGATATAAATTCCCCCTGTAACCTGCTAACATCATCAAAGATTTTCAAAAAACCTCTTCTTCACCTGCTGGGCATCCTCTTGGGATTTGCCTTTGAATCTCTAAGCTCAAACAAAAGTTTTGCCAACAAGGCCTCAACTGGTGCATTGAGCAAAAGTATGAGTTTACTGATGGTCACAAAACATGTGACCAGCTTTAATCATATAGATTTGTGAAATATTTTGAAAGTGATGCCCTGGCATAGCTGGGCACCTGCAGGAAATATATTTAATGATTTTGGTTCCAACTCCAACCATTCAAGTTGTATAGATGCTTAATGAACTTTTCTGAGTTGAGTTTGTTGATACAGAAGAAAAATATTGATAATGGACCATGTAACACTGGAAAAAGGTAGAATTTCTTACAGAAATTTTGGATATAGGGAACAAGAACAGGTAAATAATTTCAATTGTGCCGATATTTTAGAGCCAGATATTCAGATTCTGAGTATTTTTAGGGCAATTTAAAACTAAAATTTTTCAAATTAAGTTTGCAGTGGTGAATGGAATAGTATAATGTGCATGGTAATGATTGAGCTTACACAATTTTGCTTCTTTTTGTATACATCCACATAGAATTTATTGGCATGGGAAATGGTTTAATATGTGCAAGTGTAGGATAGGTATGTACTCAAACATATATTTTGCTCCTTGAATGTTTTCATCAAGATAGTTCATTCAGAACTTATATTTTATTTACTGTGATAAGGTGCCATTTTGAGGTCTAACCACCAAGCAGATCAAAGGCCTACAATTTCCCCTTTGGTAGCCGTACAAAATCCTCAAAAATTGACAGGGAGGATTTCAAGCATGTTCTATTGAATGGGGTAGGGCTACTAACACTGTGAATGGGTGGGGTCACATAATGAGACATTCAAGTTGAAGAGGTTATGGCAGTTAGTAATAATCTAATTCACCAGTTGGGTAGTAATGAGCACATTTTCAATTGCAACATGCTCCTCTCATGAAAAATTTAAAATATATGCAAGATTTGGTCCATGATGCTTATAGGCATGAACATACATGACATAAAATATTTTTAACATTTTCAACATGATGCCCAGATAAGGCTGGGTACTCCCTACAATATGTACCCATGGCTCATAACATATGATAAATTTGACCATCTCAAATGCCAGTTGTAGCACTGTGGACCAAAACATGTGCATTGAGCATTGAGCATAAGTAAAAAATTGCCAGTGGTCCTTCAACATGTAACCTGCTCTGATCATTGAGCATTTCAAAAATCTTCTGTTGCACAAGGCCACCCTCTTCATAATCTATCCTAATAACCTTCAGTTTTGCCCATGGGACCACTACTGGTGTATTGAGCACAAGTAGAAGATTGGTGTTGAACATAAAACATGTGACAAATTTCAATCAGAAAGAATGATTAGCTCAAAGGATTGAATTTTTAAATTCTCAGTAAAAGTCTGAACATGATGCCCAGGTGTGGCTGGGCATCCCCAGCTTGCACAGGACTTTGTGATCTTGGGTCAATAAAAATTAAAAAATGGAAATGTTCATGTGCATCAGGCACATTGGCATCACACATGGGACCTAAGCTATGACAGGAATGCAATTTCCCCTACTCCTCCACCAGTTTTTGACCTGATAGGTCATAACCACTGAATTGAACAAATGTGCAAAATTACAAATAAACATTCAACATCCAACCAGCTGTAATCATACAAATTTTGAAACTCTCTTCAAGATTTTGATGTGGCTGTGCACCCTGTTTTTCAAATGTAGTTTACCCTGATTTATGAGACAATTTTAAAACATTTGTTTAATTCCACTAACCATTGCCCAGGTGTGGCTGGGCACCCCCAGCTTGTTTCAGTAATAAAAACTGAGATCAATCAATTTGAGTACCATTGACACTTGTTGGCGGAATTTCTGGGAGAAAATACATTTCCATAATCTTGCATAATTTCTGTGATTTACAAGTTTTAGAAAGCCAAGGAAAATCATTTCAGACAAGAAAATACAGTTCAAAATCCAGATCTGTAAATTTGAGAATCACAATGCTCAAAGCAAGGACACTTGCTGGGAAGAGGCTGAAAACAGGTAGGAATGAACTTATGTTAGTGACAATAGACTGACATTTGGTCAGTCAAAGTGAATACAGTTACTGGTAAAATAATGAGGAAAAATGAGAAAGTGCCAAACATTCAGTTTCTATATAAAAAACACACATGGTCAAAATTCACATGATGCAGCAATAAAAATTCTTTTTGTTTTAAAAATACATTTTCAATCAATGGAAACATGGAACATACAGTATATCATTGCTGAAAGAAAGCTTGGAACCATCTGAACACCCAAAATATATCTGCATGCATGAAAACAATAGCAAAGATATCACCTTATTCAGGATTCCTGAGGCATTGGTACATTATTTTATTTAGAACACCGTATATATGTTGTACACTCTGAAAACACTGGAATTCTACAGAAGAATGTAAATTTGAGAAAGGGGAAAACCATGAAGGAGAGCAGAATTGCACCAATTAAAACCAGTGGAGAATGGGTGTTGTGATGAATGAATGAATGTTGAATTTTTTCTGGTAATTGCTATTTGTCACTGATTGCAATCTTTGACCACACCGGTCTTTTCTCAAACAGATTGTGCCAAACTCGCACACTTGATTTCATAGATTCAGGAAAATTCTCATAGTTCTCCAGCGTCCCTTGAGTATAGGAACCGCCGGGATTTGGCGCAAGGAATACTGCAAGGGTTGTGAACCAATTTATTGCTGAAAAAGGGGTTTATGGATAATTCGATGCTCTTTTCCTGTGGGTTTTTGAAGGGAAGTTGTGAATCTGTCTTTGAAATTATATCCCACTGATGGTCTATCGAATCTTGAAAAACCAAATAAGGCGGCAGATAATAAGGATCAGCTAGGTCTTCGCCAAACCATTGCAGTTGAAGTCACTCAAGGAGAGACTTGTGCTCCCAGGGGTGGTGTGAAAGAGGTAGCCCTGAATGTAGTGGGGTTGAGTGGCAGTTGTACTGTAACGTCGCGTCACGTATTTTTACTGGTATGAGATGTCTCTGAGGCCATCCTTCATGCATGCAATATCAAGCAACTATGATTTTTGCACGTGCTTCATAATTTCTTGAATGTCTGTTGAACTATAATTACTGAAAACTTTATGAAATTACCCTGGTGATCATTTTCATACACCTCAGGAATCCATAATTTAGTAAGATTTCTCCACAGTCACACTAGGATAAGCCAGACTTGGAATGAGTTGACGCCAATATCGGAATACTGAAGTCTATTCACATAAGCACACTTTTGCACACATAAAACAGAGGTCCGCACTCGTCAGAGGTTCGAGATAGAATGAGGCTTGGCGTGCCTCTCGTTACACAAGATGGCCGGTCGTTGGCGCGCGGGCCGTTGCGCCGGCGTACCCTGATTGGGTATGAGATCCGAACGAAGCTCGATTCGAATACGCGTTTGTACAAGTCGCGCGGGACTAATGGCCGCTGGCCGTTACTATTTCCAAATGACTTAGACTTTGCACTGCATGTATCTGGATGAATCCAGTACAGTAGATATTTTGCGGGTCCACGTTTTTTTCTGGTTTTGGCGCTTTGACCCCTTCAAATTCGTCTTAGAAACGTTGGCTGGTTCCTACACATAGATGCCGTTGGTGAAATCAGTGTCACGTTAAGTCCTCCCTGCCGTGGCCCAAAGCGAAGGGTGAAAGGGAGGAGGTGGACAAGCGCCTGGGGAGGCCAGCCGAGTTAAATCGGATTCGCTTAATCCGAAAACGTGAACTCGTGAGGCAGGTGCGACTGCAATTTGTGTTTCATAGGGTGACTTCTCAAGTGCGTTAAAAAAAACTTGGAATAATGGTTGAACAGTGTGATTATGAATGCTTGTGCATCCTAATAGTGGACGTTGATCCGTTTCAGATTGAAAAGAATTCAGTAGCTCTTCGCCGTGGATCGGAAAAAAAAGGAGTCTTTTCGAGTGCCGGTGTGCGCAGTGAGAATTCAATGCGTATGCACTGGTGTTCCTTCCGCTCCTGTCCGTCTGTGCGAAATTTTGAGTGGCTTCGGGCTCCTTCGTGAACAGCATTTTAAGTGTCACGTTAAGGCATGTCCGCACTCAACTCTTCGTCGCTCTCCGCGAAAGAACGGAAGAAGCTCTTTACTAGAGAGCTGCGTGAGCTTGTTGAGAAACGCAGGAAAGAAACGGATGGCGTTGATCTCCTTGCTTTGGCCTCAGATTATCCTCAAGATGATTCGGATGAATTTTCTCTGCATTACGAATCGGACGTCGAAGAAACTGTGGATTGCCCCGTCCGCCTGAAGTTTGATGCTGAGAAGTGCAGGACAATTGCGAAGAAAGTGAAAAAGTTGCGGGGCAGTAATCTTGTCGTAACGGAAAGCGAGAAACCTGTCGCGAGTGGGCGAAATTCCGCGGATCTTAAACACAAAAAAGTGAAGAAAAGGCCGATGGATGATGACAATCAAAGGACTGAAGGAACGAAGTTTAAGAGAGATGCCTCTCCTTCAACTCCGCCGATCCTGGAGATACGAGAAGCATCTCTGAACGAACCTGAACTTGAAATGAAAGAAATTGCTTCTGTGCGATTTCCTCGTTCTGACGAAGATTTCCGCGCGAAGTACCGTCTTCTAGCTCCAGAGAGTCTGCGCTTGAAAGATGTCCTGGAGCAAGGGCCGAAATTTTTCTCTCAAGGAGACAAATTCAAGTCAAGTCGTAAAGCTCCGAATTTATTCATTTGCGTTGCTGAGAAGAAAAAAGTCAACGGAGTGTATGCCGACTTCGAACGTGTTACATGGAACCCAAAATACTGTTACAGAAATTCGGATTTCAAGCCGTCGGATTCAAAGTCAAAGATCAACCCAGAACTCCTTCGCAAACAGTCAAAAGCGATGGCAGAAAAGGAGGCCTTGTTAGCTCGGAAGAAGAAGAAGGAAGAGCTGTTGAAGAGACCCATGTTGGGATTCTCGGGCAAAGTCTCGAAAGTTCCGAAAGCCAGTTCGTTGCCGGGAACTTCGAAACTTTACAAGCAAAAGCCCGTTGATATGTCAATTCGGTGCGAACTAGTTTGAGAACTGTATTATAGTCTATTCCTGTTCCCGAGGCGTCTTGAGCGAATTATTGATTGCTTCTTCTTTTTTTTCACAGCATTCCGAAGGTGGATCCTTTGAAGGAACCGGTTACTCAAGCTCCGACAGGCAAAGGCTCATTCTTTGGCAGCTCAACGTATGATCCGTTTTCAACTCAACCTCTCGCTTCGGGGTACGTGGTGGTTCCGTTTGGTCTTCGACCGGCAAAGTCAAAGAGCACAGAGAATGAAACTGATTCAAAAACAGGTTCTAATAAGGATTCTGCTGTGGAGGCCTCCGTTCCGTCGCTGGAAATCCGCCACAATTCTACACCTCCGCAGACGTGAGTTCTCCCTCTCATTGCTTCTGTTGCCCGAATGAATTAATTTGATGTTCCTCAAAGATTTGCGCATCTGTGCTTGTATTCTGCTGTATTCCGTCATGCCTTTGGAAGCGTACGGTACATTGATTTTGTAGCCCCTGCGGAGTGTAGCCCCTTCGGAGTGCGCAAAGTTTCCTGGCGAATCTGAAGGACACTGCCGCTTTCTTCGTGATTTGCAAGAAACTGCTTCCTGCTTTCTAAAAATACTCCTGGGAAATTAGTTTGCCTCTCTCAAATTTACATATCAGTTGGGATGATTTCAGTGATTTAAAAATAAATGATTTAAAACCGTAGTGTTCAAATTGATTTACAACCTACCCTCTTCATTTTTCAGACCTGCAGCAACATTCGACAAGAAAGAAAGACGGGAGCCGAAAACGAAGAATTCAGAAAACATCGACGGGGCCGAAGAGACGAACAAAAAGACAAACCCTGAAAACGTTGATGCGCCCAAAGAGACGAAGAAAAGGAACACAGAAAAAATTGATGCGGTCCGCGATAAGAGATCCAAAGATTCGTTTGCGCAGGAAGAACCAGCGAATAATCCCCAGGACAGTCGGGATCCGTACGCGGCTGATAATTTGCTGATGCACTTGAGTCAGTTGAAACGATCCGGTAATGTTCAAGCACTCGAAGACCTTCGTCAATACTTGTTGGGCGAACTTTCTAAGACCTCGGACGAGAAAGTCGTGGATTCGCTGAGGATTCTTCTGTCGCAGCTCAGTACCGATGCTTCTGTTGATCTTCTTTCCCCACCACAAGAAGATCCCATGGAAGAAGATGGACCTGGCGATGATTACGCGTGTCATGCAGAAAGCTCGCCGATGGACGATCATCCAGCGTGTTCATCTGTGCTGAGCAATCACGACAGTCCGCCTAGTGAAACCGCTCCTAGTGAAAAATTGATTTGTTTAGCTCCTGGCTCAAATCCCCTTGCGCCTGAAGGTATCGAAACCGATCTCGTCCGTACTCTCCGTCTTCGGGCCGCGGCAGCTTGGAGCGAAGAAGAAGAAGAAGAAGATAAAGAGGAGGAGACACAGATAAACTCCGAGAAGGTTTCCGAAGATCCTGTGAACACCGAAGCTTCAGCAGATCAACCCGTCGCCGCGTCATTATCTTCTGTTTCGTCAATGCTTTCGATGTCTCCGGATGCACCCTCAGATAATGTGGACGATGACGTCCCGTATGATCCTGCGGAAGCTGTGGTGCCTCGATTCGATCCCGTGCCGAATTCTTCGAATAAGCCTGAACCTACTCAAACCCCTGCGAAAGTAACCCCATCAGAAGATCCTTCCGCGGACCTCGAGGACAGATTCCGCTCCATAATAAGTAAAAATGAGCTTGTGAAACAGAAATTTGCTCGCGTTCAAGCTTTCAAAGCGATTCTGCCCGAATTACGAGATGAGGCCGATTCAAAAGCAAATGGCGCGGAAGAAAACTCCGTTAATCGTGAGAGCTCGTTCGGGAAAGCTGCAAATGTTCCTTTGGGATGCGAAACGAGTTCTATTCGGTCCCCTGAAATTAGCACGAATGTGAATGAAGAGGAGCCGCAGGCTGCAACAAGCTGTCACGTGGATCCATTGCCTCCTCCGCCGGTGCCATCGATGGGACTCCTGCGTTTTTTCGCTGCGGACATGGATTCCAACACTCTTTCGCTCAGTGAATTCTTCGGCCGTTCTATTGAGGATTGATCCCGAAGGAGTTCTGGTTCTTTCATTATTTGTTCGCGCATTCCCAGAATCCATGATTTTTATTATCAATTACGCAAGTGTCGCCTGAATTTTGTTACGCTTCGTCTTGGGTTTGTTCAGGTGCTTAGTCGAATGCACGCGCTTCTGATTTACTGTATACCTAATTTGACCCGAGACTGCCCTGTAAACCCCATGATAATTTATCTTCATTCTTGATTTCTATCCAAAAATTTTCGGAGAAGTTCGCTTGATACACGGGTAACTACAAATCAACTCGCATTAACTAAAGTTTGGTCAGGTTAGAGATGACAGCTGCCTACCATCCTAAAGGCGAAGCAGAACTAACAACAGAATCACTTATTTCGGATTGGTTCAGTTGAATTTTGTGATATCGTTTCACGTTCAAAGAAGAAGCGTTATTTTCAACCCCTTGATCAATGCGCAATTCCTTTGATCCCTGACTTTTCTCGTTACATAGTCTCACTTTCTTCGTAACCTTTCTCGACTTCCTCCTCGGATCGTTGGAATCTTTGAAGCATCGTTTTCGAAGATGATTGAAGTGCGTTTTGGAAGTGGATGTGGTTTTCGTTGCCGGCATTTGTGAGTTTTCGATCGCGGAGTTGTTTTGTACTGTTGACGTTCATAAGATTTTTTGATGAAAAGCGAATAAGAAGTAGTGGTTCATTTTCGAATTGGCCTTGTGAAGGTGTTGTAAAGGTGGCTAGGAAGTTCTTGTTTATGAAAACGAATTTTGGTTTGAGCTCTTTGTGGATCCTACTGCGATCCCGTTGTGATCCTACTGATTAATCCAATTATCCTTTAACCACTTTAGTTTTTTGGACAAGGTTGTTTTAATTGAAAAACTGAAGAAAAAAAGTCGTATTGGCACTGCGGGCGAAATACTCGCGAAGCAGTCGCTAAATTAACCCGTTCGTGAGCATGGCATGTGAAGCGCGTTGAGGGGCATGGATGCCGAGTTGCTGTCCCGCTTTAGTAATGTTGCGACGGGTCGAAAATCGGCGCGGATTTCAGGGGTTTTCGGACGATGGACGCATCGGAAAGCGGACATGTGAGTGAAGAATGGGGTCCTGATGCCGGCGACAAGCCGTGGGATCAGGGTCCCTTCGGTGGACAAGGCGAGTCTGGAGGAGCTGATGGAGAGTATGGTCTGAGCAAGGCTGCACTGAAGGCGTTGAACGAATTAAGAGCAAACAATGAGTTGTGCGATGCGACCATTCGAACTGCCGATGGCGGAGAATTCAGGGTCCACCGGTCCATTCTGGCCGCGTGTTCTCCCTATTTTCGGTACGTGCTTTTCTGACGAGAGTGATGAGAAAAACATGCCATTTGATTGCACGAGTTGACTAACTGGAAGCCGATCATTAATTTCTTCGTGGATGAATAAATTTTCGATTTTCTATACTTCGAAGAGATTGTGCGGAGAAGAGAGCGGAATTGGGCCACTTATGGAAGTGAATCAGAAGCTGATTTGTAAAAGTTAATACGGTACCAAAATTCACGCCATCCTTTTCAGAAAACATTGTACAGTACTTCAATTGACCTAAAATAAAATTTTTTTACCTAAAATTGACCTAAATTGACCTAATTTAATTGACCGATTGACCTAAAATAAAATTTTTTAAAAAATCAAATTTCATGAGAACCGGTGAGGTGAACTATCAATAAAAAATTTAATCTCAATTCACTTTAGTTTCGGCGTTATATCCTACCCTAGTGGCACTCAAATGCACGAATTGAAAGAATTCGCGAAATGTTTAATTCCCATTCGCTTTAATTTCCCGCGAATGATAAAGTTGCAATTTTTCCTGGACCTGGGCACTCGCTTCGATCAAGTAATTCCAGGATCGATTAATCAATATGAGTATTATGTTGGATGAGGCAATAGAATGTGACAGTTGAAATCTAGGCTTAGTTTTTTTTTTTTTTCATGTGAAGCATTGCTCGGCATGTGATCGAGATGTCACTGACGAATTACAGTACTGATTTTTTTTCTGACATGGGAGCAGTTGAACGGTGAACTTTAACATGAAAAAGATGTTCATAATCGAATCTAATAAGGCTTGCCTTCCTCTACCTCATTTTGATATACTCAGCCGAAAATCTCTTGTAAGGTTGTTCGGTGTTAAAAGTGAGCTGTAATCAACGTGTTATTCTTCTTGAGTCCCTCAGATTTTTCTAGACTTTTGTATCTTTCTGCACGAGTTACCTGGCAATTTTCCCCGTCTTACGTAACTCATACAGAGCCGTTTCTTTTGATTTATAGGGCATTGTTCACCACTGTTGTGCATCGTTACGAGAAGCGCGATGTTTTGATACCCGGTGTAAGTTCCGACATGCTGGCCAAGATAGTAGACTATGCATATACGAAGAAGACCCTCGTCAATGCCCACAATGTAACTGCTTTGTTGCCTGTGGCGGATCAGTTCTACGTTGTTGGCATGTTGGACGATTGTTGTCGTTTTTTGTTGGAGCGTATGAGTCCCGATAACGTGATCGGGATTTTCAAGTTCTCCAAGTGAGTGTCCTTGAACGGAATACGCGCGAAGCAAATGAACTGGCTTTGGTAGGTGAGGATTAGAGCTTATTTTTGCCAGGAATTGTCGCGTGCCGCTTACACCTATGTGATGAAGAACTTCGTAGAAGTGGCGGCGGAGTCGGAGGAGTTGATGGAATTGCCTGCGGACGACTTGGCTGCCATTTTGTCATCGGATGATCTGAACGCGCGGCACGAAGAGCAGGTTACTTTATGGCGGCGATGCGTAGAATTTGATGATTATTTCAGAGTGTAGAAGGATTCTTGATGGCCCCGAGAAATATCATGAAATTCAGAATTCTCAATAGGTTTGGGATGTGGTCTTGAAATGGATCAACAAGAGCCCTACGAGTAGAAAAGCTCATATCACTTCTTTGCTCAACACCATAAGGCTGGGCCTCATGGATATACAATTCTTTGTTGAAAAGGTCAGTTGTATAAATATTCCTCCAAGTTACGTAGAAATTTGTGTTCTTTTCCGTCTGCATTTGATTTTTGAACGATGACTTACATAATGAAGAAATTTTGTGATTCTCGAAGAAAACAAAAAATTTTAATCGAGGGTTACACTCATGCGAGTGAGGTTCACTTACCTTTTTCTTCAATATAAGCACATATGTCTTCAATTTAAGAGGTTCTAATTGATTCTATAGCTCAAAATAGATATAAATTCCTGGTTTTTTCTTTGCAAGTATATTAGTTGGAAAATTCGACACATTTTTTACCGAGTTCAAAGTTGTTCGGGTGAAACTAATGTTGATGGAAAGATACTACTTAGTTCAAAGGTTTTAAATTATATTTTCTGAGCAAAATAACTAGTGGAAAATTTTGAATTTAGGTGAAAAATCACCCATACGTGAGTGGAGAAGAAGCGTGTCGCCCGGTTGTAATTGACACGCTGCGATTTTTGTACGATCTGGAAATCATAACTGAGAAAACTGGGGCTGTAATAACGCCAGAACTCGCGAGGCCGAGGATCCCTCACGAAGTTATGTTCGCAATCGGGGGATGGAGTGGTGGAACACCCACCAATGCAATAGAGACCTACGACACTAGAGCCGATCGTTGGGTGAAGGTTGGTCACTATATTCTGTTTTGTTGGCGTGTCAGCGTTGTAAAGCTCTTAGAACGTATTCAGTGGTTTTGACGTAGAAGAGATTGACAAGCTTCAATAAGAACAGGTTGAGCATTGCATGACTGCACAGGCCACACACTGATTATTTTTGCTGGACTTAGCATCCACTGGCTTCTGTATTGATTATCGCCTAATCGGTATTCGATAATCTAAGAAATCTCGTTTCCAGTTAAAGAAACAATCATATTTGTTTGGCGAAAGAAAGAAAGAATTACTGAAAATTTCAATCTGATATTCTATACCTTAAATTTCCTCTTGAATGAGTTAATAGGATGATGAAAATTTTTCAATTAGTTTTCACTTCCATCGAAACGCATCAATTTAAATTTTCATTCCTTTTCTTGCTCTGCGTAAAAAAAAAAAATTATAGCAAAAAGACCTGCCGATAATCCGAGTTATGGAGGTTTGAGGAGGAATACTGAGTTCAGGAGGCTCTTCATGCATTGTTTTTGAGGGTATTCAGACCTAAAAAATTGAAATGAAGAGGGTTGAGCTATCAAAGTTCATTCGTTGTAGTTATCAGTTTTCCAACCGTTTGACTTACGCTGTACAGTGCTTGATTTTTATAGCTTGAAACGTCGAAGAGATAAAGTTATTATTGGATGGTTTTATTAAATATTGTCTTTGTTAAAATGGGTCTACCCCCGTGACTCAATTCCTCATTGGATCGTGTGTTCATGTGACGGATCTATAGGTGCAATATCTCAAGATTTAAGAAGAGAAAATCGGTACCTTTCATGTCCGAAACATGCGTGGAAAACACATTTACTGTAGTTGCTAAGTCCTCTTCGTCATCACATTATTACATCAATTTCCACCCGATTTTGAACTGGGTGAAAGTCGAGGCATATTATTCAAGTATCAGGACCGGTGGAGAACAAATCTTGTCTGAGACCCGATCCTAATCTAGTTCTTCTTACCGATTAGGCTTGGTGTATCCAGTCCAAGAATAACTGTATGAGTGACGAAAATAGCAATAAATGAATGTCGTGTCTTGAATGAGGTCGGTTCTTTAATAAGGTCGGATTACAAGTGACCTCTTCTATCTTGACCTACCAATTGATATTGGTTCAGAGAAATGAATAGGCGTTCTCTGGAAGAGCAGGTATTCCGAAACATTGCCTTCGTTTCTTTCAAGTCGTGCATATCAATTCATACGCTTGTTTTTTATCACATGGAACCGTAAGATTCGTGTGATTATGCTTAGATCCGTGCCAGCTATTTCCGATTTGAAGTCTTATAAGTGTTATTTAAGATCACAGTATTCATGATTTTGCGTTGATAAAATGCGCCGTTAATTATCGCAGTTAAGCGCGAACATTTGCGTGGAAAATAAATCTGAAATTTTACATAGGACAGTATAGATTTTGTTGAATATTGTGAAGTTGCTAAGGAGCTTGTTGTTGCCATTGCGAAGAATACGCAGCGAAATATAATTAATTTTAATATGAATGAAACTGGTTTTAGTCTAGTGGTTCTTTTTATTTTTCTTTTACAGGTTGAGGAAGTGGACCCGTTGGGACCTAGAGCGTATCATGGAACAGCTGTTATTGGAACAGATATTTTCGTCATCGGGGGTTTCGATGGGGTTGATTACTTCAACTCTTGCCGTTGCTTCAGCGCTGCTACCAAAACGTGGAAAGAAATTGCTCCGATGAACTGTCGCCGGTTGGCCTTCATTCTTCCCATTAAATCAATATTGTTTTATAAATCATCATTTATTCTGAAGGTGTTACGTGAGTGTAGCTGTTTTAAATGGCTACATTTACGCGATGGGAGGCTATGACGGACATCATCGACAAAACACGTGCGAAAAATACGATCCGGTTGCCAATCAGTGGACCATGATTGCCACAATGAACGTTCAGCGTTCGGATGCTTCAGCAACCACTCTTGACGGTGGGCTTTTAAATTCCGAATGTAGTATTTTTTCTTACAAAAGTTCGAATGTGTTACCATCAGGCAAAATATTCATCACTGGAGGCTTCAACGGACAAGAGTGTATGAATTCAGCGGAAATCTACACTCCCGAAACGAATTCGTGGTCTGTGATGCCACCCATGCGATCTCGTCGGTCAGGCGTCAGCTGTATTGCGTATCAAAACCAACTATATGTTATAGGTGGGTGCTAAAATCCTGATTCTATTTCTTTGACATCGGGTTTTTCATTTTTGAACTTGGATTGAAACTTACGTGAAGTCGTAATAATTTACGATTTTCTGGGAAAAAAATGCATTTTTGATCACGATTTATTGTTGCCTGAACGTTCGAAGGGTGAAACGTGTGTTCTAAATTAGATTGAATTTCTCGTACGTGAAATACAGGAATAGCAGTTATGCGAGCTTAAATTTCTATACCGTTGTATAGTGTATTCTTTTGTCGAATCATGGTTCTTTTTAATTCCGAAGGAGGTTTCAATGGAATATCAAGACTGAACAGTGGAGAGAAGTTCAACCCAACGTCGAACTCGTGGGTTACCATACCGGATATGTTTCATCCTAGATCCAATTTCGCAGTGGAAGTCATAGACGATATGATTTTTGCGGTTGGGGGCTTCAACGGTGTCACCACCATTTACCACGTGGAGTGCTTCGATGCGAAAACCAACGAATGGTGAGATCAAGATCTTAGTTGTTCTTCGGAGAGAGTTTCACAATTTTCTTGTGGACTACTCAAGTTTGCAAAACAGTATTAGTTTTAGTAATTTTTTTGCTGAACGATTCCGTAGTTTCGGGAATGACAACAGATGTCGCCTGATCAAACTGTTCATATACGAGGGTTCTAACAAAAGTTCTCGGAGTAGCAATGAAAATTATATACAATTGAACTGAGAAAAATTTATTCTTCAGGGAAAACATATTCTTTGGCACACAAAAAAATCAGCCCGGTTTGACATCTTTTGAGTTAGAGAGCAAAACTCTATTGGGATGCATTTTGCAAAAAATTTTTTTTTAATTGTCAAACCAGGCTAATTTTTGTGTGTGTGCCAAAGAATGTGTTTTCCCTGAAGAATAATTTTTTTTTTCAGTTTAATTATATGCCATTTTCATTGTTACTCCGAGAACTTTTGTTAGAACCCTCGTATATGCAACGATTTGCACTCAGGAAAATCTGGGTGAGGTTCGAAAATGAAATTTCAGGATGAAGGGCACATTTATAAACAGGATCAAGCAAGCTTCTTGCTGCCGCAACGTAAAACAATGTTAGTGTATATGCGGAGGTCGTTTGTTGAATGATTACAGGAAAAACTTCCTGATAATTTTCCGGACCAGCACAATTGAGATTACAGTATATCCAGGCGACACCTGTGAATTTTTTCCGGAAATCACGTGAATTTTAGCAATGCGGCATTTCTTTGAAAACGTAATGATGAATTCTTTCAAAGGTTACTATTCACTACTTCAGGGTTAAATGTTTCTTTAGGTACGAGGCGACTGACATGAATCTTTACCGCTCGGCATTGTCGGCATGTGTTGTGGATGGTTTGCCGAATTTGCACGAGTATATTCATCAACATCGAGACGGACTCATGGAGGAAAAGCGGCAAAAACTGCTCGCTTTGCAACAACAACAAATGCGAGCTCTTGAGCAGGATGATCAAGAAGCAACTAATAATGGCAGTAACGTTGCTGTGGGAGGATAACAATAGGCAAACTTTTTTCTCGGCTCGATCGTTTTTGTTTTTCAAAGCGCGGGAGTTTCAACTTTCTTGTACGTGGGAACTTGAAGCGGGAAAAAAATACCGCCGTGTTAGCGGGCGGCGACTACGTGACGTAATAGTTTTCACTGTGCGTTTTTGTTTCCGATTCGTTGGAACTTCCGGCCAGCTGTGGTTTTTCACGAACACAGGGAGTAGTTTTTAACTATATTCTGGCAGTTACAACGCATTCTAACCGCGTTCTTCGGCTAGTACACACATTTTCTGAAAGTTTGAGGAATATTGCGGTTTTCAAATTCGTTCAAGATTTACTAGTCATTTTTTAGACATGGGATTAATTGATTTTGTTAATCTAAAGGTCATTTATTGGACATTTTAATTCATTGGTTATGTATGAAAAACCGGTATTGCTACTCAATTTTCATTAACTGAATAGAAAACATGTATCTTGCATACACGTGCATTATCCACAAAGCTTTTTTGTTGGTCAATATCCATTTTCATGAAACTGTGCAATGCAATGCTTCCATTTCTCTAATTCATTTCTGGCAGATTGCTGCTGGAGGATCAGATATTCACGCATTTTAATGCCTTACTTGCCTAACCTAATGTACCATCCTAAGTCATAACTTCATGGACGAAACTTGACCAATCAAGCCTTCGTAATGCCAAATTTTGCATGCATATGCACCATTGTCCGCCGGACAGTTGCAATAGTGGAGCTGCCTTCAACAATGACAATTTCTTCGATTGTTGCACATCGATAGCAATGGCTCCTTGATTTATGACCTGGCATATCTCCCAATGGTTCAGTAATTCAGCGAGGAATATTACTTAACTCTTGCATATACATTATCCTTCACCGTATTTCTTATTTACGATATTCCTATTCTATCAATTCGGTCTAAATCATAAAATACTGGATAGGACAATATGCACTTTGTCATTCCGGAGAAACATACGCGCTGAAGTGGATTTCCGGAAACTGTTCCGTTCGCCTATAAATAAAGTTGGCGCTTACGCGTTCCGTGGCTTGAGTTCTTTTTTTATATTTGAAGCACACCTCGGGATAAAACTCTGAAATACTTTCTAAAAACTGTACCTTGATTTGAAAAAAAATATACATATATCTGATCTGCTGCGGTATTCTGAGCAATGCGGGATTTTCTGGCGTCCTTCATAATTGGATCTTATACCTGTTCTTCGGAACAGACGATGGCTGGATCGCTCATCACACCCGATTAAAGTGGAAAGAAGTGCTTCTGAAGGAATGCGAAGTTTTTGTTGGATTGTAGTGAATGGGATTTCTCCGAAGGACGAAAAGGCGATGCGTTAAATCGTTCAATGCACAGGAACTTCATCACAGAGAGGAAGATAGAAACTTTCGAGATGGGGCATTCGCGATATATTTTTTCCATTTCAAAATTGTTAGTCAAGTTCCCGATATCCGACTCTCAGGTGCTTTATAAGGGTAGTTCTTTTTCTGATGAGAGGTCTTGAGATGCCATGAATGAAGGGTTGTTCACCCCCGTCATCTGAGCTGTGTAAATGTGACATATGGCTAAATGTCACAGTTGAGAGGATGATCCACATCCACGACGTCTGATTCAGACATATAGGACTGTCTGTGTGCAGAGTAGCTGACACTATACAGAAGATGATGGGGGGGATCACACCGGATCGTTGACCGTATTCCGTAAGACTTATTCATTTTCATTCGCTTTACGACTTCGTGACCTTTTGGAATGGATTTTCTCTCTATAGATGGCTTGGTGTACTTAGAGCAGATATAGTTTTTATAATAGCCTTTTTTTTAGGGATTTGGCAAAAGGAGTAAGTCGATTCGATATTCTTTAAAGAATTTCAGATTATTTGTGCAGTTATTTATTGTTTATTAATGAAAGACGAGATCGAGGAATTCAATAAAATAAATCGAGGAATCTAATTGAAAAAAAATCTGTTACATTTTTTTATGAGGGATTGTAATAATATATAGGATAGATGCAGTACAGTAAAATTTTAATTGCTGGTATTATGGTATACTATAAATCATTGGGGTACTATTGTTATAGATATACTGCACAGTACATGATCCGCATCAACCGCAACCGTCAATTAAATCCACGATTTTTTAAAGCGATGTGATACCCACCAGCATTGTTTGTCTTTTTCATGGAATGAAAAATACAGTATATGATATTCGAAGACTGTAAAAGGATTCCAATTGCTAATGCAAGGAATGAGCGAGATGACTGCTGGCGGACCTGCTGCGTAGTATTCCCCAGAAAGTGATTATTGTTGAAAATAACAAATATGGTGCTTATAATATACAGTACTGTGTAATGCACATATGTACAGTATATCATAACATATGCAGTACGTTTCAGTTTATTATGCATACTGTATAAGGATTCATTCACTTACGGAATTACTGTGCTTATAATATTTGTCTATCGAACGCAGCGGGTAAGAAAGCCAAATTCGAATTTTTCTGAAATAATTCTCGATTCCGCCGAAAATGTGGTAATGCTGCTGCACCAGCTATATTAAGATGTTCACCGCGATTCAATGACGTTGAGCTTTATAGAATGAGCAGCGCACAAACATCTGAATAAAAAAGTTTTCTGAAACTCGGAAAAATTCTCGTGTCTCAATACTCCCAAAAAAACGGCACCGTATTTTGTTAAAAATTAAGCCGGTCGTAATCACAATTATTCCAATACGCCACCATCATTCAAATTTTGAGCATATAGCGAAGTTTTCAAAATTACAGCATGAAACTAGGCTGAAACGTGACAACGTCGAAATAAAAAGCGAATTCTATACATAAGTATGCATGATTCTTAAATAAATGCTGCTTGCAACCCGGAGCCTTTCCGAACGGAACATATTATACGAACACATCCGTAAGAAAAGGTTTCGTAATGACGATGGCTTAACAAGACAAATCGGGGATCACGTTCCGCGTTTTCCACGCTCATGTTCAAAGAGGTTCACGGTCACTGCTCAACCCGGAACGCGGTTTTGCAAAAAATCTTCTTCGACCCATCAGGAACACCGCAGAGATAAGAAACACGGTTCAAATAACAACCAGCAGAAACAGCAAACCACATATGTCTTTCGCAGCAGTTGTTGGGGCCGCAGCAATGAATTCAAATCTCGGATGAGTGCGTTCTTCCAACTCCCCACGTATATACGGCGTGTTCCACCACCGGACGAAATCCGGATGACAGGGAAGGATTCAACTTGGCCGCGAACTCCTAATGCGCGCCATTTTGTCAACGTCAGAACACTGTTGCAAAGAGCCGCTTTCACTACATGCGTGCTTTTTCCCTCTTGGACGTTGAGCTCGAAAGCTACGTCATTGTGTATACATGCTGTATAGTGAACTCCTCGACCTCTGGCCACAAATGCCAAGTCTCTCAATTTCCTTAAGACCCAAGAATCATATAAAAATAAACTGTATATTCGTTGGAATATTGCACACAAAGAACATACTGTTTTTTGTGCTGAAGGACGATTTCCTGAGAAATCCGCTCTTCTACAAAATTTGAAGACACGTCCTTGTTTACTGCCACATGTACTCATCGAGCAGTTTCCGTGTGCCATGGACAAGGGATGCAGAAAAAAAAGAAAATATGTTCAGCAATTAGTTGCTGTTATTTTAAACATTTATTTTAGAGAATGTATGGTTTCTTTTGAAAAAATTTCACTATGTGCTAATTATTTGTAAGAAGTTAAAAATGCTGTACAGCAGTAACTGTATAGTTCCCCAATCTTTTTGGGCCCGCGGACCAGCAAATTTCCATAACATTTTAAGTTTTTAACACAGATCGACCAGCAGATTTCCAAAAAATTTTTCTAAAAATAATAAGCTTTAATTGCAGTTCAATCACTCAAAACTCTAGCCTCCATAAATCGAAAACCACCTTATAATTTTAATCTCCAAAGAATCCGTGCATGAGTGCATGACTACGGTAATAATTTTTTCTGCACCCATAAATTTTAAGACTCCGTCAAGAAAATCTTTCTTGGCTTTAATATCCGTTTATATATTGATATTTTCAATGGCGTTTATAGGCTACAATAGTTATGTAACAATAATAAAGTCGTTCTTGGGACCAACGAAAAGCTTGGCATGAAAGCAATAGTTTAAAATAAATTCAAATTACAGTTTGATTATATGCACCTAAAAATGAATTTCAAGCACTAATTTTTAAAAACAATATTTTTACGATATTCAACTGTATTAAACTGCAGGGTTAAATGTCAGAAAGCATGTTCCAGAAAACAAATTAAAGATATGCGAATAAGTATGTCCAAATGCTTTTGACAAGCTTATAGATTCAAGCAATTTTCTGCAGTTCTTGCAGTTAAAAATCATGATTTTTTGATGGTATAGGCGAGGAAATAATTTTTCTTGATTAAAAATGCACAATAGTCAAACCGCCACATGTCAGCCAAAACTAGAACAAAAACTCTGAATTTTTTGGCAGTCCTCTAATATTTGAATCAGAGAGCTATGTTCAACAGTAAATAATTTAATATTTGTGAATTTCTTATGTACGCGAGGCAGTGGAAAGGTGTTTTATTAAAGAATCGTGTTCGGCGGAAGTGCTCATCTCCCAAGAAAACGTCACGATTCGGAAATGAACTCGTCCGGGAAAAAAAAGCCGCGCTTTTCCACGCTTCCCAGACTTTTTTAAAACCTCATATACATCCACCTTCTTCCGCAGTCGTGACTGATGGTGAGAGGGAAATCAAGTTCTAATTCTTTTTTCTTTTCTTTTTTTCTGCCGAACATGACCTATGAAATCCAACCCGTTTTAGAGCTCGTCACAATGGGTTGACACCTTCGAAACCAAGACTGGCATCAAATCCGGATCCTCTCGTCAAGAACCGGAAATAGCAGCCTCCCACGCGGAGGGAATTGACCTATGAAATCCAACCCGTTTTAGAGCTCGTCACAATGGGTTGACACCTTCGAAACCAAGACTGGCATCAAATCCGGATCCTCTCGTCAAGAACCGGAAATACGTCGGAGGGTGCGCCTCCCTTCTTTTTACACAAAAGAAAAAACGGACAGTCAGGTCGTGTCGTCAGTAAGTAAAATGTCATAACGTCAATCTGGGGGTTTTTATACCTGTGGAACTGTATATGTATTACG